AAACAAAATGTTAATACCACAAATTTGGACAAATGAAAAGTTGACATGTGGTGAGTTTCAGAGGAACTTATTACCACACCATATTTGTTCTAGCAACTAGAAAGGAATGCTACCATGTAGCCACCTAAGTCTGGATCATGAAACCGTTTAGATGCTGACACGTGACACTAAAGAGGCACCACATGTCAGCAAAATAAGTAAAGAAGCCCAATCGAATAAGTAGCCCAAAAGGATAAACCCATAACATGAGGCGCAGAAAAGAAAGGCCCAACACATGAAGTGGTTTTAGGACTGCGATCCATCTCAAAAGGCCTAGGGAAAGGCTCAAGACCCGAAAAGCTCCCAAGATTATGATCTGCCCCATCAGGCCCAACTTAGGTAACAGCCAAATACAGTTGGCAACAACGCCCTAGATAAATAATATGCAATTATAGACATTTAAGGCAATGTATGTAACGGTCAGTAATGGTTCCTAGGAATCCTGATTGTAAGCAGTATAAATACAAAGGGCAAGACCTAGAGAAAATCATCTGATTCCCATTGCAATTAGCTTTTCTTTCTTTTTTTCTTTATTAATAGTAGTTCACATACTTTATTGATTAAGTGTTTAGAGTGTTGATCATTTGGGTTGAATCTTTGCATTCGGGCTGAAATTTTATACACCTACATCTACAATATCTCCTACTTTGTAGGAATATTCCTAATGTCATATAACTACTATGGTAAGGAAAACCTATATCCAGATTCATTGAAGAAGTATAAAAAGTATTGTGAGGACATGCCTTTTTATCATTTTCCGGACATGTTAGCATTTATGTATTTTATTTATTGTCGAAAATTATGATTTAAGTTGCAAATGTGTTTAATTTAATTTAATGTCATTTGTTTATTTCATAAAGGGCATTATGGACTTTTTGGTTTATAAATAACATATTTGGCATTTGATTATTTTATAAGGGGTTATCACATATCAATTGTCTAAGGGAATTTCTAGAAAAAAGTTGGCAGAGACATTCGCCCTTTCTTGCTTCCTTGTAGTCATTTTATGTAAGCCTCATTTTGTGACCTTTGTGAGGAGATTTTGATAATTCCTTGTGAATGAAAGTTTGCCCCAAAGTCAGGAGCTTTCCTTTGGTGTAAAAGTTGGGATCATTTTCTCACTGTTGGGTGGTCATAAGTGGGTTGAAAAAGGAAGGTTGGTTGTGTTGTAAGAAAAAGGGTGTTCTTTATTTTAACAAAGTTGGTGGCTCTAATCCATCATTTGGACTGCTTTGAATTGTTGTCTAGCAAGTGTTCAAGCTTCCCTTGAGATAGGATTGTCTAACCCTCAATTCCTTTGCCTTTAGTGAGTTGATTTCTTTCAAATTTTGAGTTGCAAAGTGTATACAAACAAAACTGAAATTCTGTGCTACTGAAACTTAATTCCATGCTACTATTTTGCTCAAAATCATGTAAATTTGTAATTTATCATTTAGAGATGATTTGATATTATGATAATATAGTAAATTAGCTTTCATTGAGAATTGGTTTCACTTAAATTGGTTGAGAAATGATTTTACTATGAATTTTTGAAGTTAGAATGTTCTTGCTGGAAATTCTGGGTTGGGGCAGTTTCTATCTGAGTCTTTCTCATCAAACCTGCTTTAAATGGTAAGGTATTTTGGTGAAGTAAAATTTTATCTTGAAAATATAGTCTTTGAACTTTCAATGGCCTTTAGATTCACTCAATTTGGACGAAAATTGAATTTACTATGAATTTTTGAAGATGGATGCTACAGGTTGGAAATCAGTTTCTGGGCAGGATTTATTTCGAATTTTTGGGTCAAAACTGTTCCAATTGGGAAGGGATTTTGTTAAACTAAATTGACACTTTCAAAGTACAGTGTTTAAGCTTTCATTAGGCTTTGGAATCACTCAATTTAACTTAGAATTGAATTTGTTATGAATTTTCAAAGATGGAGCTAACAAGCTGCGTATGAACTGTTTTGTTGTTTTGGAAACTTTGGGACATGACACAATTGTGCATTCATCTTGCATGGTCATGGGGTTAAGGTGAGAATGGAAAAGGAAGTGAGAGCATCTCATTAAAATGATTTTGAAAACCGGATTACAGGGAGGTGCCTTGTATCTATGAGTTTAGAAAAGGGAATTGAATCAATGATTTTAAAACCGGACAAGGAGTTGCCTTGTCTGTGCAGTTAATAGGAATCTAGAGGAGACGTAGGGAGTGGTTCTACGCGTAGTTGTGTCACTAGAGCCCCAAATGATCACAAGGAGTGGCCTTGTATCAGGGATAGATGACCAACTCTCTTCTCGTGGTACTGGGGAGTAGCCCTGGGCGGATTACATTAACTTTTTGTGATGGAAATGGGATTTTGGGAAGTGAGAGGTGTCAGTGACATTAACATTGGCATTGGCATTGCATGACACTTCATTTTATTATCTCATATGATATGTTACTTTCCCGAGCCTGTATGACTCCTTTGTCTTTTATCCCTTCTTTGTTTTGATTCACGGAGGTATTAAGGAGTGCGCTTTAGGCAATTCCTGCTGAGCTATGGTTGCTCATTCCTATTTTGTTCACATCTTTTCAGGTCATAGTATGGATGGTATGGAGGGTGTTCCTCCCCAGCTGTAGACAGAGTCGGGTCTGGTGTTGTTGTGTTATATTCCGTATAATAGTCTATGTTTTGTATTATATTTCTTTAGAATATTTCTGGCATGCAATAAATATTATTTCGGACTTTAAAACTTTAATGTTGTAATATTTGCATCTTATCTATTAATTTTCAGTCTTTTTTTTGTAAAGGGAAATAGATAGGTAGATGTGTGGTTGAGACAGGTTACAGGGATATTTTTTTTTTTTATTTTGAGACTGTGATTGTTTGTGTGTTGTGTTCACAATCCGGACTACGGTCTAGGGGTGTGACAAGTATGCTAATGTAACGATCCGAACCCGAGGGTCCGAATCGTTAACCGGATCCTTACCCGAACCTGAGGTCGTCTAATGACATTATGGTAAGTTCCAAGGTCGATACATAACGTACGTGCCATCCCAAGGCTTATACAAAACAAATGAGAACACAAATATAAAAGATGATAAAACAGTCTACTAATCCATTCAAACCTATGGAGGAACGTCATCCGCCACTTTCTTCCCGTGACCTGAAAAATGATATTTTAAGGGGATCGAAGTCTTTTAAAATGTATGGTCTTGTACAACTAAAAATGATTTAAATATTTAAGGTCATTCTCGTCTTTTTCTACATTTTAATGGACTGTTTGGATCAAATTTCTGACATAGGTTGTCATTATTCAAAAATTGGTTAACTTTAATCTGATTGTCAATAGCGCAAACCTTAGGGAGTGCGAGTGTAATAACCAAAATATTATTTTTTATTTTTATTTTTATTTTTATTTTTATTTTTTTGTGAGGCATTCAAACTCGTACTCATATTCTCTCAACAAAAGAAAATATGGCTTTGGACAAACACATCTTGATGAACCAGATAATTGCAAATAATAAGAAAATAAAGGATGTTGTCTACTATTAGTCTAGCATGATAGGGTATTGGAGGATGATCTGTTTATAAATTTATACTCCACTATTATTAGGGACAGATCTAGAAACATAAGGGGGGCAATTGTGAATTTTTTTAATAATTTTAGTGGAGTAATAGTTTGATTTTATAGGTATATATATCAAAATTCTAAAAGTAGTAAAGTATAATAAATAAATAAATAATTCAAAAGTAAAAATCAGTTGAATTAAAGCCAAAAAAATAAGAAAGAAATTAAAAAAATAAATAAATAAAATTACCCAAAAAAGAAATCAAACAATACCCATTTGACATTAATTCAACGGTGTTGAACTATTTCATTGATCGTGATCATAAAATTTATGCAAAATTCTGATTCACAAAATATATATGTACACACACAAATATATACTGCATTGGATCAATTACAATTCAGAGGGTAACCAGCATGGGCCTATGAATTACAAGGCCTTATCACTAGCTTTGTACACACACATATATGTCTTAGTTCACATTTAGATAGGAATTCGATCAGAGAGTAGTCATGCAAGCATTACTGCACCATTATTATTGATGTCGACCATAAAACAAAAAGATTGTTTTACCGGTGATTAATCATGGAATTCCTCCTTCAGTCATGCACGGTGCCATAGACCCTGCAGCAGAATTCTTCAACTCGCCGAATGAGGAGAAGATGCATCTCTTGTCCGAGAATGTTCATCAACCCGTGAGATATAGCACGAGTTTGAATCATGTTAAGGACAAAGTTCGTTTCGATCTGAAGAGTTCATCAACCACTACTCTCATTCGATCTCAACTTGGATTAACCTTTAGCCTTCAAATCCCCCAAGCTACAAGTATGTACCAAAAATTGACATGAATAAAATAACTAATTTGGAATACTTTCAGGATATGATGGATGATTTTGTAATTCTTTTCTTAGAAAAATAGGATTCAATGCAATTTAAAATATATCATGGGTTAGTTAGAAAAATAACATGAAACTTAAGAAAACAAAAATAATAAGCATCGTACTCTAAGCTCCAAATTAGTTATTTTATTCATGTCTTATCAATAAAATATCAAAAAATATATATATATTATAAGTATAATAAGATATATTATATTATTTTTTGAAGTAACCATGACGTATATGTGTCCTATTTTTTTTTAAATCCGTTCTTCCTAGCCTCTACCATTAACCAATATAAATTTATCATGTTAGCAAGCTTTGGACCTAAAATGGAAATTTTTAGTTTTAGCTTCTCCCGACCTATAAATTAAGTACTCTTACATGAACTTAAATTTCAAGTAGTATATTTTGGTGGAATATGCTACCAAATTTTCCTCATTTTCAAACCTAGTTTTAAACACACACACATATATATACACACACACACACATGGAAGACATTTAAAGATCTATCTTATGAAAATATTAATTCTTGATACATACTTGTAGCTTGAGGGACTTGAAGGCCAAAGATCAATCCAAATTGAGATCCGATAAGAGTAGTGCTTGATGAATCCTCTCCAGTTACGAACTTTGTCATTAACATGATTCAAACTCGTGCCATACCTCACCGGTTGATGAACATTCTAGACAAGAGATGCATCTTCTCCTCACTAGGAAAGTTGAAGAATTCTGCTACAGAGTCCATGGCACCATGCATGGCTGAACGAGGAATTCCATGGTTACCTGCAAAAAAATCTTTTTGGCTTATGGTTGGCATAAATAATAATGATGCAGTAATGCATGCGTGTTTACTCTTTGATCAAATTCCTATCTAAATGTGAACTAAGATATATATATATATGTATATATATATATATATATATATATATATATGAGTATATGTACAAAGCTAGTGAAAAAATGATAACAGTTTTCAATGATGCAGGTGACCACTCAAGTTTGACAAAATTTAACTTATGTCCTTTTCTTATATCATAATACTATAATAGCATACAGACACATACAGGGACACCAGAATTCATATTTTATTCAACTTTATTACCCTCATTGAAATCATCAAAATAAATTTACTTTCTCAAGCTATTAACCGCTCCAAGACTTAAATTCATCTCTTGACCATTCCAAATTAATTTAAAATTCAAATTCATAAAACATAACTAACCAAAATGCTCAACCTCAAAGAATAAATACTGAAATAAGATCTTTTACCTAAAATTATCGATCACTTCACGGTCACCTTATAGTTATCCCTTGCTTGATAACCTCTTCTAACACCTGAAAATGTTTTAGAAAATAGGGTGAGCTCGAAAAGCCAAGTAGATTTCCAATTTATTGAAAAATAAATAATCTTTTGTCGAATGCAAACTTCTATGCACAATCTTAGAAACTGAACAATTTTAGCGATCTTGGGATAATAAACCGAATAATTGAGATTTGAGAATGAACAAATTTAAACTACTTTTAAAAGAATTTCGGGTGAAGGAACGTACCTTGCTTTAAGTTTTTTTCCTAGTTTTTTCTCCAGATCACTTTTTCTTTTATTATTTCCTTTCCTTATTTTCTTCTCCAGCTCGGATCTTACACTTTTCTGCTCCTCCTCCTGCTCCTCCTCCTTCTCATCTCTCTCTCTTGGCCGAATAGATCTCTGTTATCTCTCTCTCCTCCCCTTTGTTTCTCTTCTGCAATGTACCTATATGTATATAAGACAAGGAAGTATTACACATACAAACTAAATGTCATACTTATATGCATACAGGTGGCTTGTGCATGCAAACCATTCTAGAGAGTACTACACGTGAGTACTACATGTGTTCTTCTTTCATCTTCTTCCATAAGGCGCATGTAAGGATGGTAACCGGGGTGGGTTTGGGCAAGGGTACCCTTACCCACTCCGGTTTAAGTTGCCACGCCCCTAGGTATGAAATTGGGGCAGGTTTGGGACAGAGTTGACTAAACCCTACAATGCTCCCTTAGAAAATCATCCAAACCAATTTTGCCCTAAGATGGGTTTTTAATTCGTATACCATCTCCGCCTCCATGGGGCAGATGAAGTACTGACTCTGCCCCGCTTCCTTCATTTAATTTAGTATAATAAATTAAATTATAGTAAATAAATAGAGGTTAATGGCTTATTAACACCTTGTTGATAAATGCAAAAACATAAAATAATGAACAAATAAACACCTCTAGGCTCTAACATGAAAATGAAAAACAAAATCTAAAAACACACACACACACACACATATATAATCGAGTTCGGGGCAGGTTAAACATTAAATCTTACCCAAACCCGAAACAGGTTTTAATTTTTGTTATCATATCAGCCCCTACTCCATTTAGAGTCCTACCAAATTTGTCCCATTAGGAGCGGGAAAGGAAGGGGCGAGGTGAATGAAATTACCACCCATACCCGCCCTACCCTTGCCTAAAATCGTTTAGCGAAACCCCTTCCCATTTCCACCCACATTTAAGTTTCCCCGGCCAACCCCTGTTTAAGTTTCCTGATCCTGCCCCCTTTTATTATTCTACATCTTGCTACATTTTTTTAGACTTAGATCTAAAAGGAAAACATCCCAAATATGGGATATACACAGAGAATCAAATAATTAAATTATTATTGTAATAAGGAAAAAAAGTATTCATCGAATAAATAGAACATTAATTGACATATGGAGAACCAAAGCAAGATTGAACGAAATGGTACAAAAATATAATTTGTAATTTTATGTAAACACTACATTCCTTGCACACACTTAAAGGTAAAGCTTCATGTATATTGGTCTACCATGTGTATGATAAATTTACTAAGACTATAAGAAAATTGTTCTTCAAAATTAAAACTTAAGCTAATATTGATAATGATTTGTGATCAAATGCGATAAGGTGGTTAATGCCTTAGGTTTGACTTATGGTAGGGTCAATATCTTATGTGATTAGAGTCGCCACCTAACATAGAGTTTTGATGTGTTAGGTCACCGAATTGATTGGAAAATGGCGTGTTTGAACACTTAATTTGATTTTGAATGTGGACCCTAATACTCGTGACTCTCGATGGATTTGCGTGAACCAAATTAATGAATTTAGGGGTTTGATTACTATTGAGGAAGTGGTTAGGCACCCCAAGACTCCATACCAAATACAGTTACCTATTTGAATATGGATTCGTAGTATAGAGTGGAGTGACTCAACTTAGGATTACCTAAGTTGCCCACATATCCCTGCTATATGAAGCGTTTAGGGAATCAAGTCGAATGTTGTATGGTTTATTATGAGAGATATTGAGCACATGTGAATTGAAGAGATATTTTGAGATCCCATGGATGGGATGTGTTTGGGAGAAATTTTGGAGTCCTATGGATGGGATGATTTTAAGGAATGTAAGGATCTCGTACATTAAATTGCAATGTATTTTGAAGTAGAAATAAAGATTTAACTAGCATTGCAGCGTGGATTTAGAATGTAAAGATTTGAATATGACCACTTTTAGGAAAGTGGGTTTTAATGATATAGAGTTTAAAAATAGAAGGTTTATGGTAAAATCTTACTTTGATCTTGAAAACAAAGTTTTAAGTAGAATTTAAGGGTTCGCCGGCATGACTGCGTAATTTGGAAATGTAGAAATTCTAAAATGACGATAACCCCAAATTTCCACGTGTAGGTTGGCTTGGCCCACACTTGAAGACCCGGGAATATCAGAACAATTAAGTACTAAACGAACACAGAATACAAGTGGAATATAATAAAATAATAATAACGCTGAAAGAAATACTAAATGATAAATTATAAATATCTGATACTAAAACTCTGAATAAAACTAATAATTAATAAATCTCTAAAATAAAACTCGGGAATCCATCTCATGGATCCCTAATAAATAATGTCATAACTGAAATACAACTATAATAAAGTCTACTAAATGAATTATATGAAGATAGTATCCTACGTCAATGACTTTAGAAGAATGAAGATGAATGCCCTCTGATCAACATGAACACCCTCTAAGAGCATCTCCAATGTTAAAAACCATTTTCGCATGCCAAATCTATATTTTGACAGGTGCTACAATATCAAAATGCTACATTTTACTAATTCTACTCTAATGGTGCATTTAATGCAAAATGCTATTTTTTGACATAACCATCATTTTTTTTCAACTACCATTCCCAACTACCATTCTTTTTCAACTAAAAAATTTGTATTTTTTTTTTTTTTTTTTTTTGTGTGTTTATATTTTATTTTGCTTGTTTGCCTTGTTAAAAATAAATAAATAAATTTGAATCATCAAATCCATGTTTGGCATTTCAATACTACAATTCTGAATGTGTGTGGGTGACCTGAATGGATAAAAATTGAAACCAATATATGCTAACATATATATAAAATAAAGTTCTTTCTGCAACAAGAGGAAGTAGCAGAACATACATAACAACCCTATATCTGGATTAAGCATTGAAATCTCAATAGAAGTTGCTCTGTTGCTTAAGATTGGGGGTTATTCACGAGCTACACAACTTCAAAATTCAAACAACTCTTTAATGATCTGAGCAGATCAATTCTAGCAATACTAATCTTAGAAACCAGAGATGTATAAGCTTCATGAGGTTGCACTGTCTTCATCATCATTTTCATCACCTTCAGAGTCCTTTGATTGGTCAGTGTTGTCTGACTTCTCAGATGTCAAATGGCGTCCGGTCATAGGATTTATTGGATGGGTGTCTCGTGGCCCTCCTTTGCATCCCATTGCCAGCATCGGTGGCGGGGGTAGCAACCCTGCTCTGAAAAGTAGGCGTTGGACAGGGTCCGAAGGCTGGGCACCAACTGATAACCAATATCTACAGAAAGAGGGAAAATATCACAGCGGAATTAAAAAGGAGAACAGGGGAAAACAACTTTTGGAATAATTAGAGTTTTGCTTGAAATTAAATAAAACTGAGATCTAGGTATCAGTCTCCATTGGTGCCGTGAATGAATTTTTTACAAAGTAAAAGTACAAAAACGGTGGAACGTTTTCAGGAGCTAGGTTTATTCTCTAAGAGTGATAAGTTGATTATGCGATGCCTTGTGCATGTTTCACAATATGGCAGGGAATCTAATATGATACCCAAATATATATTTATAATAATAACAATAGTAAAAAATTGACAACATAGGATGCTTATATAGTTTATGTATGATTTTTAGACATCCAAGTAATATTAGGCTAAACTTCTGGACCACATAATTTCCAGTATGAGAAGTAGAGTTGAGAGAGATGCAAGAAATGAAAACAAGACATGAGTCCATCCATTTCTACTCTATAGAATCTTTGCCAACAAAATTCAGCGTGTTTCCTATCAGCTCCATCATAACTGGCAGACTGAACCAATCCATGAACACTACATGCATGTTTCCCTCAAAACACTTATCCTCTTTGCAGAATGGGTTTCCTGGTCATTGTTATGCACCATTTCCACAAAATCCTTTATAAAAAATGCACGACAGTGCAGATGAAGCATAAATTGATAAATGAAGCTTTCATTTCCAGGCAATTATCGAAGCAAATCTTTGAATTTAGAGTGCACCTTGAAGGCTTAAGGAGAAAAATAATATCTGGAGTAACAAATTTAAAAATGTGACTACAGAAGAAAATAAAAAGTAAGACTTCATACTTCAGAAACCATTAAAAAGAAAATCATACATCATTGAGAATTCTAAGAGGCAGAAGGAACTCGTGAAGTGATTGCAATTTCAAGAAAGATAAAGATTTCAAAAACAGGTTGCTTATGGAGAGAACAAATAATTCAGTAGTGGTGGCAGACCTCACACTTGAAAATCCATATAATTACTTGAATTGAGCATTAGATTAAACAGATACTAAAGGAATCAATGTTGGAGTTAATGGATCCTTAGCTAGTCATTCAAGAATTGGTCATTGAGGGGCTTTGAAGAGTGAAAAACTCAGCATGGTTGGCAAGTTAAGTGGTTGTGAGGTTATTCTTACTTCAGCCCGTGAAAAATATTATATGAACTTCTATTGAATAACTCATGAGCTATGACATATATAGGAAACTTGTTTTTAGATAAAAGTCTATTTAGTACCTTAATTTTAGTAGGATTAAATAATGCCAGTGATCAAATGGGTAAAGTTTAGAAGGCAAATAACTTGCAAAAGTAAAATTTTCTAGTACAATTTCAACACAATTCATTCTATCATTAATTATATAATGGTTCAGATCAATTTGACGAATAGACCGATGGAAACCTAACATTTGTTATGATGAGAGAAGTAACTAAACTTCATGCTAATAAAAAAACTCTTTACTTCAAAGGTTTGACCCAACTTATCTGGATTGGTTTACTACTTGCTATGGTACTTTAAAAATTAAATTAAATTAAATTAAAACCAATACTGAAATTAATTCAAGTATAACTTTGAAACAAATATGCTAGGTATGAAGGATTGCAAAATTTATGGTCTTTTTCTGGTAACCATTTCTGTAATAACAAACAAGTTATACTATGTAGATCAATTACCAACAATTTGATAATAAAAAACAACAGGAGTATCATTATTAGATATACAATAAATATATCAAACCTAGATCGAATAGGACCACCGGAAACATAATGGAATCTAATTATAGTTACAGAACACTTCATTATAGTAGTTCACTTTAATTTTAAGTGTGTACAAAAATCTCAAAGATTCATCAAAATAAAGAACATCTAAATACGAAACACATAATGACTAACAAGTGTGAGCAAACCCCAGATTGAAGAACAAGCTGGGTAATGAAAATTTTGAGAGAAACAAAGAGACAGATCATAGAAATTTTGAGTTTTTTCAACAAAATTTATAGATCTAAGAAGATATATATATGTATACATACATACATACATATATGAGGATGAGAGGGGAAGAGAAAATACAGATCTGAGAATTTACTCGGTCACCGTCGATAATCGCTGTCGTTGCAGATGAGAAGGAGAGAGAGATCGTTGCTGAAGAGAGGGAGAGAGAGACAACAGGGCAACGCAACCAGTCGGAAGAGGGGACAGGAACGTAATGGAAAGAGATAAAGCCATTCCAAACGACGTCGTATAGAGAGAGAGAGAGAAGACTTGCTAAAAAAATTGGTAGCTCCTATATCTGAGAGAAAATTTGGCATTCTCAAAATTTGAGAGCCCAAATGAAAGCCCATTGGAGAGCCCACTTTTTACACCTCTCTCAAATTTTGAGTTTAGCAGCCCAAAATGAAAGAGCATTGGAGATGCTTAAGATTGGAACTGATAAATACCTAAAAAATATAAAAAAAAAAGTGGGTCAAAACACATTAACAAGTTCTTTCTATAATAACCCAATCAGAGAACCCATAAAGGATACATCTCTAGCCAACTCATGCAATATATACATAGTCGATAGATATATGCACACACATTATAGACTTTCACTGGGCTATAGGGCAGTCTCAACCAGATAGTGGGTATCTCATGAAAAATCACATACGAGGTGGTCAAGAGTCCTCTTCTACCAGGGCACACACATCTCCCATATCCAACTACCTATCTCCTATATAAGAGCACACATATAAATATATATATAGCCATATCCAACAATGGTACACAAACATGTAAAATATTATAGCCATATCCCGACAATGGCACAACATAGAGTTAGTCTAAACTTATTAGCCAGCTAACCCCCACTACACGTATCACATAGCCATATCCCGACAATGGCATAAAATATAATGGATTTAACTTATTAGTCAGTCCACTTATACTCATCAATTCATCAGACCATATCTCGCAATGGTGCAAAATATCAAGGAGTTTAACTTAATAGCTATCTTAATTATCCCGTCACAAATATACGATAAACGCATCAAACCATATCTAACCATGGTAAACTATAAAGTACAGCCATGTATCATGTTTGTAGATCACAATTACATCAAAATATGATTAAAATCATAAATTGTGCTATCACATTAAATTCCAATTTTTTTAAATGTCTCAAATAATCAATTTCTAAATTAATAGTTAATCAAATCCTGAATCATAAAATCATAATTAAATTCCTTGCAATTTAAATCATATAACATTGTTCCCGAGGTTTTAGTGCAAGTTTGGGACCTTAATAAATCAATTCGGGCCATTCGAAATACTTTGGGGGCAAATCTGGTCCCTAGTGCTCGAGCACACCCTTACTGTGCTCGAGCAGTGTCCAACGGTGCTCGAGCAGTAATTCTGAATTTGACAGTGCTCGAGCACTAGTTCGCATAACCAGATCGGCAAGTCCATTTTAAGTCTGAAAATTCGTCATTGAGGGTCTTAAAACATGCTTCTATGTCCCAATTGCTCCCATTAATTAATACCCATCAATTACACATGATTAGAGCAAGAGAAACAAAGTTTCAAACATTAATTCACATTATTTCACTTTGTATATACATACATATATATATACACATATATACATTCATTACAGTCCGTTTTAAAGCATGCAAACAGGTTTATAATCTCTATTTAAAGTCCCTAAAGTTGTACTGGAGATGCATAGAATAAGGGATCAAACGGGAAGAGTAGAACAGAGAACTTGCCTTGCGGTTTTCGGATTGAAAACCAATCTCTTCTTCTCCCGTCTTCTTCTCCAATGCCGGCAGCCTTCGGGTTGCCGTCGTCTACTCTACTGGCTTCGGTTGCTACCCACACACCACCCATCTCTCTTCCTTCCTCCTCCTGACTTCTTGGTCTCTCTCAAACCTCACGGTTTCTCCCTCTCGCCTGTACTCTTTCTCTGTTTCTCAAGTTCTTCTAACCCTATATTATAACAACATATATACTCAATATAACCTCACATAAACCTAATTTCAATCCTACGCTGGTCAAACAAACCAAAACACATAACAAAAATAATAATATAAATATATATATTCATACACAAATAAAACGTATATACATACATGTATAAATTACCCATATGACCATCTACATGGCCTTAGGCCTAGTAATCACCTTTAGGCCTCCCCTATAGTCCGAGACTAACTCCCTTGGCCCAAATACTTATAACCCAATCCATAGCTGCATAAATAAACTAAACAATTAAATAAAAATAACAAATAATCAACTATACAATTAATTTCACATACAACTTACAAATCATGGCAATTAATTAAAATACACAATCAAATAACCAATTAAATAATAGATCAACTAAACAATTAAATAATTAACATATAAACAATTAATTAGCCAAATAAGCAATTAAATACAATTAAATAAAATAAATAAATACTTCGAAAATTAGGAGTATTACAACTTTATGCAAAATGTAGAGTAGAGATTGAAAACGGTTTTTTTTTTTTTTTTTTTTTTTTATTTATTTATAGTAAAATCGAGCTTTGAATATAAAAAGAGGGTTTGATATTGATTTTTAAGATTTTGTCGCATGACGGCGTAAGTTTGGATGTAGAGATGATTTTTGGAGGGGTTGTCAATCTTGATTTTGACAGAGTACTGACTTATAAAAACATGTTTTTGAGTTTGAAAATGGACAGCGTAACAGCTTATGTAATTGAAATATGAATTTAATGGGGGTGTGTTTAATTTGTGTAGGAAAAGAAAGGTTATTTCTCTGGAACTAGACAAGTTTCCTGTATGTAGTATGGTAACCTTCTAAAGGATCGTAATGATCCTACTAGAGCCATCTTTTGCATGCAAAATGTTCATCTTTGTCACCAAAAGACCAAGTAACCCATCGGTATCACCCCCCAAAGAGGAGGTTGGGGTTCGAACCTCAGTAAAAATGGGTGTGTGCGTAATTGTTTTAACTTACAAGGGATTCAGAGGGGTTTTAACCGACTAGCTAGGAAGGGTGGTTCACGGGAGAGCTAATGGCAAGGGTTGTAACCATGGAAGTATGGACTATGCAATGCAAGAAATTAAAGCTCATGCAAATATATTAACACCACACAAGCACATGCAACAGTATATAGAAGTCCTAATGGACAACATAAAAGAAAAATGAGTGCAATACATGACATTGTTTGTTTGTTGCTTTTGATGATTGGATTGGTAGTTTTAGGACTTTTTGGTTCACATAGTAGGGTTCGATTTAAGTTATATCTGATGATCCTGATTGCCCTGAATGATCGTCAACATGTTGAAGAGGTTCAAAACTTGAATAAAGGATTGAACTAATTGATCTAACAAAAATGAGAAAATTATAAAATACTTAGGTTCAACGTGAAGTATTCTTTTTGAAAAATATTTTTCTTTTTCAGATAAAATATTCATTTCCATCAAGCGGGCATATAAAATAATTTAAATCAAATTATAACAAGTGAGTACTTCTGTAAAATTGATTACCCATCATATTAATTTTCTATTTAAAGGAAATACAACTTCCTTATATGACCAAAAACAAAAAACGTGGCAAAAAGGGAAGAAAAATCAAATAGTGACAATACTAACACGCATGAAGAAGTCGACACCTCGAAAGTTCACTACTATGCATAAAAAATATATATTTTATTATTTTATATTACTTTCTGTAACGAAAAATCAAAATTTTATTTTCATTTTATTTAGCTTCTCTCTCCGTAACACTACAATCTAGTAGTAACTTATATTTGTTCCTATCGCTGAAGTTAACTGTGGTTTCTCTGTGCCAACAGAATCACTCTCCAAGTATTTATTCTCTTCCCCCAATAAATTTCTACTCTTACCTATGTCTCAAAGAAATCTCTGAAGGCAAACATTAGAGCGACCAGAGAGCAAGAGTATGACGAAACAACATTAAAAGAACAGTAAATCCAAAGAAAACCTGCCATGAAAACGCTTACAAAGACTTGGAGACCCCCAAGACACTCAATTATGAGTCCTAAATTTATTCCAATATGAGCTTAGAATGATCAAAACTCAGTAATTTTTACTGCATTCAATTATTTCCCAAAACCCTAAAGGCACCATCTAAATACCCAAGTATATCTAGTTCAATCAATTAGAGCCTGACAACATATAACAACAATAATGAATAAATTTTCAGAAAATATATATGCGTGTGTGTGTAACAACAATGAATAACCTCAGAATCAATCCTTATAATTGACCAAAATTGCCTACAGAATACATATTTCAGTTAGCAAAATAAGTAAATTGAGTTGCACATAACACTTGACATATTCAATTTCTTGAAGCCCCACAAAATAAGCATTGTTAAACAACATCAAACCATTAACATTCACATGGTAACTGCATCATGAATAAGCTAATCCCCTTCTATGCGAGGACAATTCTCGACGAGTCATATAACAAGTAACTTCAGCAAAAACCACCTAACATTTCAGAAATAATACAGCAAACCACCCCATTAACATTCACATGGTAACTGCATCATGAATAAGCTAATCCCCTTCTGCGCGAGGACAATTCTCGACGAGTCATATAACAAGTAACTTCAGCAAAAACCACCCAACATTTCAGAAATAATACAGCAAACCACCCCATAACTCAGGACCAGAGACGAAGTTCTTACACAAAAGCTTCCACACATTCCTACTAATATTCCACTCTAAATATCACCCCTTTTAGGTGAAAGCCAACATAAGATAGACTAAGCATTTACATGTTGATCATTTACATGTTAAACCTATAGTAGGACAAGTCACCAGCCACAACAAAATAATCCCTCCAACCCTATATTACTGACTCTGTTCGGTATTACACCTGAAAATAACATTCAATTAGTAAACTAAATTTCACAAAGCTTATAAATACTTTGAAGTAAGGGACAAGCAAACAGAGAAAAATATACTTTTATGTAACTATTCTGAATCCCAGGCAGTAAACCCTAGCCAGATAAAGCAAACAGAATTTTACTTCTTTATTTCCTCTGTTTTGACCTCGTTTTTCTTTCAACTTTTTGCTCAACCTTCTCATCATTATCTGCTATGGGGTCACCAGGATCTTCACACTTCTCATCAGGATCATCAGACATAACTTCTTGCTCATGCTACAGAAATAAAGCATATATCAAAGAAAATACAAAATTAAGAATAAGATGATGAAGAAAAAAATATATATAAATATGAACATAGAAGCAGCCATAATCTTTTTGATAAGGACATTGGTGTGATCAACAGAGATAGTACCCTTAAAAGTTTTCCAGACAATGGAGCCGTGAAACAACAGAAACCTCATTTAAGTGGCCATAAAGCATGCAAAAACAAGACACTAGAAGGAAGAGATATGAACTTCAGCCATTTCAATGGATTGGGTCCTGATCAGAATATGGCCCGAAACTGATCCAATAACTCGGATATTAATTAAATATTATCTTGATCCAAATATGGTCCAAAACAGATCCAATATCTCGAATATGAATTGAATATTTAATCTAATAATCTAAAAAATTAACAAACAGGATATAGATTATCATCAATCCTATCCAATGTTAATTCAACCTGACCAAATATACTATGTAATATGATAGACATATATTGCCTATCATTCACTTGATGAGCATTTGATAAAAAAATTAATTAAAAATTGTTGTTTATATAGAGGTTTCTCATGCATAGTATTGAAAATTTGGAACTCTAAACTATTTCAGTTTTCTTCATTTTTTTTTTTTTAAGTCTATTCGTCCCTCTTGATTCTCTCCGTGCGTGTGTGTTTTTTTTTTCTTCTTTTCTTTCACAAAGAATCAAACATCTAATTTTTCCTTCTCCTTTTTTTTATTTTTTATTTTTTTATTCTCACTTTTTCTAATTTATATTGTGGAATTTTTACAAAAATTATACTACTTAACAAATCAAGTTATCGGATCGGATATTTGATAAACTCTGTAATTCCTTATGAATTCAATAGCAGGTAATCTATCGGATTGGATTGGATTGCAGATATTCCTTAATGGATTCAGAATGGATCAAGCCAAATCCAATCCGAATTCAGTTGACAGGTCTACTCCTCACATGTGCACAGCAAAATTAAGGAAACACGTGTGAACAAAAGATGAACTAGGAAAAAGAACAATTTTCTGCAGCAATATATCTCAATTGTTAAGAGAAGGTAGGGTCCTTTTGAAGACAAGCCCAGGGCATAACACAAGGTAGCAATATAATTTGAAGTACCTACGTAAACAAATATATATGAATTTAGTTTCCCTAGTCCGTCAGCAAACCCCTTAATCACTACCATTGAAAGTTTAGCACTAGCAGTGAAACAGCTAGTGAATATAATATAAAACAAACATGAGGGGATAATTCAACCAAAACTACCATATATACAATTACGTTGAGCCCAAACTTTTCCTTCTGGTAGGCATAGTGGTCGCATCCTTGATGCATTTAGGACGGTACCACACTTGTCCCTGTTAAGACTTAACAGCTGCCAGAAGAAGGTGCAAATTCCTCTTTTCGCAGGTATGAATGTGTAGCTAGTCGTAAAAATAACTCTTTTGCTACTCAGGTAGAATATATATAAAAACCGGACTGAAACGGAGACTGGAGCTGGTCAGTTTGAGGGTTTGGAACTTCAAAACAATTTTTTTAAAGAACCATTTATCTTCAAAATAAAATAAATGCATTTAGGACGGTACCACATTTGTCCCTGTTAAGACTTAACAACTGCCAGAAGAAGGTGCAAATTCCTCAGGTCGTAAAAATAACTCTTTTGCAAATCATGTAGAATATCACTAAAAACCAGACTGAAAGGGAGACTGGAGCTGGTCAGTTTGAGGGTTTGAAATTTCAAAACCATGTTTCTTCAAAAGAAATGTTCACACCATCGACTTGACCGTAGACCCATTTAAACCATAACTTGTTATGACCGACAAGAGGGCTTTCCTGAGATAATATCACAAACATAAGGCTTCAATCCCTTGCCACTCTCTTCCAGTCATCCGTTTTCTGAACATTGTGTAAATCAAAACAACCTAGCTCCAAGGACGCCACTTTGAAGAATTTCTTATTTTTATTTTGTTTTTGTGATTTTTTTCAAATTAATACTAGGAAAATTATCAAAAGATGAGATCAATTCAGAAGTACTATTTCGTTTGTTTATTTATTTCTGATAAATACCCTTTATTTATTTAATATTATATATAGAGCAGACAGAACTCCACTGGTCATGTCAATGCTTCCAAGCGACAAATCCTACTGCCCATGGCAGCCATCAAATCCTCCCCCCCCCCACCCCCCCCCCCCCGCGGGGGTGAAAACTCACTATGCTTTTGCAATCCTTCTAACAACTCGGTGAACCAGACATTAATAACAATCTTGTTTCAATGATATTGCCGCATAAATATGTGAATTCCAACCTTCAATGATATTGCCGCATAAATATGTGAATTCCAACCTTCCCATGGTGGTACCAACCAAAAGATGTGTCAGGATGGCATCTCAAATATTATGTAATTTGATACAATTTGGTCTTCTATGCATATATTCCATTTACATAGAATATCAAGGCCCATTTTCAATGTATGGTTTACTTCTTAATAGGGGTGGCAATTTTCAGTTAGTCTACTATGAGGGATCAAATTACTTATAAGGTTAGGGTATACTCACAAAACTACAGCCACCAGGAATAGATTTACATGGGGGCCAACCCGGGCATGTGCCCTCACTCATTTTTATTTTTGTTTCCCATTACGTGTTTATAACTCGTTGATATTTTAAAATGACCCGGCACTAACCTTTAACAACCCCCCCCCCCCCCCCCCCAAAAAAAAAAAAAAAATCTTTTTACAAGTACTTTTTTCTTCTTCTTTTTCCCTTTTGATCTATCTCTCACGCTCCCTGCTCTCCCTCTTTCACGACGTTCTCTCACTCTCAGACTAGAGCCACATCTCTAAATATTATTATATTAGAGTGAATCCTCTCTTTCCTTGTACTCCATGGTTCTCTTGCAGATACCATTTCTTCAAGAAAGAATCACGCTCTTTATTGTAAGATTTTTAAAATTTTGGCTTCTGAAAGTTGAGGTTGTGGATGCATTGCTTTGTTGGTACTCATTTTGATATTTCTCGAACCTATGTAAATTACACTATATGTTATTACAACTCACATGATTTAGTACTTTAGATCTATAGTAAAATAAAATAGGGAATGCTAGATAAAAAATTACAAGGTTGGTTAACTAACTTTGTTAATTGATCTTAATGATGCCACTTTAGTTGCTCTAAATCAAGGAAGAGTTCCAAATTCACGAGGCACATTAAAAACATCAGGACCGAATATACCTAAATGGTTAGGGTGCATAACTGCATATTATATCAACAGTTCAAATGTATGAAGTGAAAATGAGAAGCCAAAAGAAGCATTCAATCCAAGTTATGTAAAAGCTGACAGAGATACATTAGTAATATGTTTCTCTATTGCATTTTTTATTGAAAAGTAATAAGGTATCCATGTTAAACAAGTAATGTTTCATGGAAACATTATTTGAAATTAAATATTGAAAATCATTAATTCAGCTGTCTCTATATCCAAAATTTTGAGATGACAATGACAACAAACATTTTCCCAACTACTTGGGTCAGCTCCATGAATCCTATTATTCCGTCATGTCCTACAATTTGAGAATGATATCAATTTGACATTAGATGCAAACAAACGGTTAACAACCAACAAATGGACCCAAGACCATGTAAAATAAGATAAAATCAACAATATATTAGCATATTGGATTAAGGTGAAATTTTAAACCCTTTCAATGAACAGGTTCAGACTACGGTCAGAAATATTATTACTCAACGCTCTTGCTTCATAAATCAACTCAAATTGCCACATTTACTTAGTTTTTTAAGATTTTATTTGTTCTTTTTAACATGAACAAGTCTTTAGCGGGATTTTTATTTTTTTTAGGATTAATTTCACTGACACCCTTTTACGTTTGGCCAAATTTCACACGGAAATACCTTTCGAAAATTACTACTACTCAGACCCCAAATAACTTTTCCCTGAATGACATCGTTAAAAACGTGCAAAATGACAATTTTACCCTAAAATTTTAAATGCTTTTTATTTCAAAATATCAAAAAATTAAAAGGACTAAAATACCCTTAGTCTAACACCAACCCCTCCCTGCCATCCGAAGTCACCTAAAAAAAGCAGTCATTTCCTCTCTCTTGCTTTCTCTCACTATAACACATTACTTCTCTGGTCAAACAATCAAAAATTTCCAGACAAAATCCAATGAAAGCCATTGAAAAAGAAGTAATCATCACCAAGAGAAAAAGTCGAAAAGGTCTCAAACCCACCTTCTGAAATTCAAAGAAGTGCTCAAATCCTCTCACTACCATGTATCTATTTATATATATATATATATATAAAACTTTCTGGAGCAATTTGTACTAAAAATGAAAGAACCCACCTGGGTTTTTAATCGCTGAAAATCTCATGAATCTCTTTGAATTTTTTTAATATTTCTCTCTCTACAACTCGACAACCACAAACTCCTTTATTAGTTGTTTTACCATTCTTTGTATCTGTAAAATACTTCAACTCTCTTAGTTATCTCCATCAATCTCTATTGCCTTTTCTCGAACATTTAAAGCCCAAAATAAAATATATAGGAGTAATAATCAAATGGGTGTTTATGAAAACTATGATTTCTCTCTGTACACCTCCTCTGAAAGTAAATCTCTGTGTATGTGTATATGTGTGTGTGTGTGTGTGTGTATATGTATATAGTGGATATATATATATATATATATATATATTTGTCGTTTTTCCCACCTCTAACTGTTCGTGGGGTGTTTTCTTTCTCTCTTTTGATAATTATCTTAAATAAAGAGATTAAAGATATATATACACACACATACACACACACACGCATATATATGTACAAAACTTATATATATTTATATTTTTTAAATTCTTTTGGATGGTCTGATGAGTCAATTTGGTAAAAAAAAAATATGGGTATTTTGGTCTTTTAAATGATTTTTTAGGGTTAAAGTTAATTTTGACAAAGTAAAAGGGTTACAATGTCTTTTTACATGTTTTTTTGATAAGTTACAAACAAATGTCTTTTTACATGTAAAAAGCAGTCTGACACAAATGAAAAGTAACTTTTGGAGTGAGTGAATAATGGACCAAAAGTTTGTAATGTGAGTGATAGTTATTTTCGAAAGATATTTCAATGTGATATTTGGCCAAACCTGAGGGAGTGTCAGTGTAATTAACCCTTTTTTTAATACCATATGTCACGAACATTCAACATCATCGAAGAATTCAGTAAATAAGTCATTAGATCATAATTAGCAAAAAAGGAGTCATTATAGCATCCCTATCCACACCATTTCCCACCAACTCAATTTCTAGAAGATGCATTTTTACAGTGAAATGCTTCTCTATGTCAATTGTCAATCAATCAACATCCATTTCCCTAAGCACTGAGGTACCAGTTACACTAAATAGTAAAATATATTACTCAATTAAAACTTAGTCAACTGTAACACTTGTCCAATTCCAATTTAAATAGAGACTGCCACTACAAATTAATTTACGATGCTAATGGACGAGTAATGTTCCTAAATAAAGCAACATTAACTGATCGAGTCCTAAATAAAAAAATATTTACTGAACGAGTACTGTCCCTAAATAAAATAACCAGAGAGAGAAATTCACCAAATCAAACAAATTTAATTAAAAATAGCAAATTCAACAAATTCCTACAATATGTCATAATTTTTTTTTATCTGTGTGGAAACTTCAATAGAGAAACAGCAGCACGTAGAAGCTCCATTTTAAGCACAATCAAACCTTAAATGCTAAAACCAGTGCCATCAGATCTTCTGGTCGTGGTTATGAACTTATGAAGGATTTCCTATATCTTAAAAGCTGATAGGACCGTCAAGATCTACCAGAGGGATTGTGGATGAGGGCTACTTTTTTTGGGTTAAGTGATGAGAGCTATTCCAATTTTCATAAAATGCATATCTGAAGCGTTATACTCTTTCCATTCCACATTATTCAACTTACCTGCTGTTATGCTAGAACCACTAGCATTAGAAGCAAAAACTTTTAAACAACTAGAGGCATTAGGAAATATTCAGCCACCAGAACATAAACCAGCAAGCTAAGTAAGCAGCAAGGTATTTCCCAATGCAACAGCAAGAACATAAAGGCAGGCAAAATTTTGAAGATTAGAACTTACCTGACTGTCCCCAGAACATCTTACATTTTCCACCGAGGTAATTTCATGAATTGTGATGATCTTATCTATATAAACAGTGGTCTCCTCAGCACCGACTGGAGTTCGGTTGTGTGACATCAATGCAGGCTCATCCTCAGGTGCATTTGGTTGGATTGGTAAGGTACTGACGATAAATCAGTAAACAAACAAAATCATAAAGAGCCAATGTGAGAAAGAGGATCCAACTGTAAGAACAGATCCATATAACTAATATGTCATAACACGTAAAAAATTGATTATATAGGATAAGGTACCATGAGGTAGTAGTCTCTTCTGATGTTATGGTAACACCTTTATGTTGCCTCCTTTTCTTGTTGCTCTGTGTTTGCTCTAGCAGAGTATCAGCACATCGTTTGAGCCATGAAAAAGGAGCAGAGATAGCAGGAGAAGCAATAAGTGATCCTTTTTTATCAGACAAATCAAGGCCAGTACCAACACCACCATTTACTTTGCTAACTAAATTCAATTCCGCATCTTGCATAGCTGACTGCTTCTTCCTTTTTGCATAAACTCTTTGTGAGTTAGACTGTAGATCAGGTTGTCTCTCAGGTGCAGCAATACGATCTGGGAGAACTTTCAAATCCTCCAATTTCTTCATGTTATCAATCTGAGCAAGAATCTCTTGTCTGTCTGCATGCAATAATTCCCTTTGTTTCTCCAACTTCTGCCTTTGCACCTTAAGTTCTTCAATGGAATTGTTAAGTTCTGCCCATTCCTTTTCCCTTTGTTGACGATCCAAATTGATCGCCAACCTCTCATTATCAAGCCTTTCCATTTCCAATTTAACTTGCTCCATTTCCTTTGCTACTGTTTCACGGAGAGAGGTGATATTCTGAAGTTCTTTATTCTTCTCTTCTTCAAAGGCTTTCTCGCTTTCCCTAAGATAACTTTCTATTTCTTCACGCCTCTTGTCAATACAGTTCTCCAGCTCCCTCTTCTGCATCTCAATTTCAAGCAAGAAATCAGAACGTTCTTTCTGAATCTTGCTGAACCACTCCGAGCGCTCATGCTCCATTTCACTCATGAAGGCTTCCCGATCACGAGAAAGTGACTCAACATCATGTTTATACTGATCCTGCAGAGCATCCTTCTCTAATTTCAGGCTCTCGTGCTCATCCTTGAGAAACTTGGAAATGGATAGTCTCTCCTCAGCAACACGTTCTGCTTCCCTTCGTAATTCCGCTCTTTTCTCATCAATCAACTCCCATTCTGTTTCAAACTTTCCCTTCTCTGCTTTTAGCTCATCTGCCTCAGCCTCAAGTTCCAGCTTCTGGGCTCTTACCAATTCGATTTCTTCTTTAAGTCTCACTGCTAGGAGCAGTAGTTCATTTGTTTCACTTTTCATGGCCTCCACTTTCTCCTCTGCATGGAAGACTTGTTTCTTTTCTTCTTCCAGTAAATCCAAAGACTTTCTAAGGCCAAGCTTCATGTTATTGATCTCTTCTTTTTCTTTCTGCAGAAATGTTTTCTTCAACTCAATTTCTCTTTCAGCAGCAAGAAGGCTTTTCTCTTTCTCGTCAAGCAAATTCGTCTTCTCTATCAAATCCTTCTCCTTATCCACGAATGCTCTTGATTGAACCTCCAAGTCATGTTCTTTTTCCACAATTGAGTCTTGTTGGTAACGAAGATCCACCTCCTTCAATTCCCAAGCCCGTCTCTTGGCTTCCATTTCCTCTTCCACCACTTTGCGCTTTATCTCCAACTCTGATTCAAATTCAGAATATCTTGCTTTCAAAACAGCTTCATTATTAGCCATAACTTGTCGAATCTCATCCTGTATGGTTTCAGCAAGAAGCGTGATTAAAAGAGATTTATCTGAATCATATTAAATAATTGTGTGATTTATGTCACTCATGGTAGCTATCATAATTAATTGCAGAATGTTGCAACTGCAAAGGCACCAAAATTATCAGCAATCACAATTGGATACCTCCTTCAGTTTGGTTTATAATTACATTCAACATTGGCATAAAGGAATTGAAAATGAAAGCTAAGGCAATGACTCACAGATTCCTTGCTTGTAAGCTTTCCTTGTTGAATAAGTAGATCTTCCTCTCTCTTGTTCAGCTCACATTCCCTTTTGATAACAGCCTGTGAACATCCAAAAGAAAATTTACATATATAAATCCTTCTGGAAATGAAGTATCAATCTAATATAACAACATATTCACAGAAATATATATATAAACCTCCTCTCGTGCTGACAAGGAAGCTGCATTAATTTCCAGATTGGTTTTTTCCTCCTTCAGGGCTCTAAATTCCTTCTCGATGCTTGCTTTGGAAGCCTCAATCTCTTCCTTAAGCTTGTTTAACTCCTGAGATCTAGTAAATATGTACTCCTCCCTTTGGTTTAACGACGCTTGTCCATCAAGTAATCTTTCTTGTGCTTGCTCCAGAGTTTTCTGCCGTTCACTTAACGATTGCCTCTCAAGAAGGATATCTTTCTCTTTAGCATCATAACTGATAGACCAGAGACAAGTAGACAACACTTAGTTTCCAAAAGCAAAACATCCTTGAATTTATACAAACACAATCTGCCAACAAATCCTTGATATAAATAACATAAAAGACTGAAAGAGAACAAGGCCACAGGAACATCAACAGAAGACAATCAAAACAAAGCAAAACACATTGTACTGATATTCTTTAGGGAAAAAATATATACGAATATGATTCCATATCTATATTAACTATCTAAGCAATCAATATTTGCTTCTAACGTGAAGCATCAGAAGTTTTCACACGCACCACATGCAGCTATTGTCATGGGCTTTTTCATAGAATCTACACAAATATATCTACATTAAAAACAGAAAGTAAACGAAACATGTATGTTTGGTGGTGATATAACATGATGAAGTCAACAGAACTAATAGAAGACGTACTCAGACTTGGATGATATGATACGCCTCCTAAGATCATCTTCACGACCTTCAACTTCATGTAACTTTCTTTCTGCAGCACGGTGATACCGGCTAGCTTCAGCTTCCAAGGATTCTGCAGCATGCAGCTTTGCCTCAGCCTCAGTGAACTTTTTCTGAGCATCCTCCATCATAGTTCGTGCTTCAGCCAATTTGCTCTCGGCTGAAACTTTTGCCTCAGCAGATTCTGCACGCATCTCATGCAATGCCTTCTCAATCTACAAAAACTCCTAAATTAGGGACGAATATAAAAATCAAGCTCCATGGAAAAAGAATATATATGAACTAACATACATTTGAGACACATTCTTTCTCAATTCCCAAAGCCTTCTTCAGATTATCCTCCCGTTTCCTAGCTTCGGCTAAGGCAGATGAGAGTGCAGCCTGATCCCGCTTGTGCTTTAGTTCAGCTGATTCAGCAGAGCCTTTAATTTGCTCATAATTGGAAACCCATTCCTTTTTTTCAGAAATGAGAAGACCCATGTGATGGTAAAGGTCATGGTTCTGCATAAAATTAAAATGGTCAAACACAGTCCAAGAAATAAACGTGATACCCAATATATATGTAAAGCTAACCTATATTAGGAAATTTCTGTTAATTTCAATCAAGATATCGAAAAACATAACACTCAATCGCCAAAATAATTCTATTGCTAGAAAAAAAATAAAAATAAAAAATAAAAATAAAATTATGTATATATATATTCTTGACCATTTTCACAGAACCTGTATTCTTGACCATTTTCACAGAACCTGCATCTCCCAAAAATTAAGGATATGAAGCAGAATTGTTTTCCATTTATTTGCTTTCAAAAACATGCCGTAAAACACAAGGGTTTATCAAGATTACTACACACCCAATTCAATGCAGCAGACTGAATAAAATTCAAAAACATGATCATTTAAACCATCAATAGAATTCTGTACCCAAATAAAACAAATATATAAATATATATATATATATATAAACAAATACATGTATTCATAGAACAAAATCAAGCAAGTACAAAGATAAAGATCAAGAAGCACAGATATACGAATCAGACCGACCTCAACTTCAAGCTTTGCTATATAGGCGATGAGTGCGGCCTTGTCCCTCCGTTTGATAGACTCCTCGTCGAACCCAGACTCGCGAAGGCGTATCCAGATCGCTTCATCACTGAGAGGGGTCCGCAGAGCCCTAGAACCAGGTGTTGTTGGAGTGTGAGTGATAGCCAATCTCTCCGATTGAGGACTCGCCATTACCAGCAGCTTCAGATCAAGAAAACCCTAGTTCTCGAAGCTGGGAGCGAGTTCTTTATCAGTTGTTGGACTAGGACTGGTCTGTTGTTCTGCAAACGGTGGGATTCCAGAACTCTCCCACTTTCTCCTTGCTTTTTTTCTTTTTGCTTTTTCTCTCTCTACAATTACTCACTCTCTCTCTCTATATGTATATATGAGTGTATTGACAGAGACGAGTTTGCTGGGTTTCTTTTTGACGACTGAAGAGTTGAATTAAATTTGAAAAACCCTTTACCCATTGTTTATAAACAGGGTTGGGGTAATTTTGGAAATTTACAAGACAAGCTTTTAAAACGACGGCGTTTGGGGGTTTAGATTTGAAAAATAGAGTCGGCTTTTGCTGAAAAGCCGTTATTACTTTAAATAGATGCTTAAATTCAAATTTAATTTATTTTAAATGAGATTATAGTTTGAGAAAGTCTTGCCAGGTAAGCCAAACAATGATGACTTACGCACTCCTCTGTCACCAAAATAATTTAATTTATTACCTAAACAATCTAATTTATTATATGAGTTTAACCTATATAATTTAATTTAAGACAGAAGTGTAACTTTGAACTTTAACCTAAATTAACTTTAAATTCGACAAAAAAAAAAAAAAAAAAAAAAACTTTGAAGTTTAAACTAAACTAATAGACGTCGTGACATGTTATTGTATAGAACTGATGGCAATTATATATATATATATATATATATATATATATATAGATATAGTAAAATTGATGGCATTGATTCCTATAAAAGTTAGTGCATGAAAAGCGAATAATTATTTCACACCAAAATTATGTCGAATAAGGTACTGCTTTTTCAATCGATAAAATCATTATTTTTGTTGAAGAAATAATATAAAAATAGATCGATTTTATTTATTTTTGTGTGATTTATGAATTGAGTCGAACATACTCTTTCATCTTAAAAGTGTTTAGTTCAAATATTTCCAAACGGGACTTTTTATCATTTTCTAAGTGTTGTTTATTTCAATACTTATTACATAGTCACTGCAAAATCAATTCATATTTATCTCATTTTTTTATTTTCATATGAATGTTTTGAGAACCTACGTGTTCATTAAATGTTTTGGTATGGATGTTTTGAGTTTCTATGTGTTCATTAAATGATGTGAGTTAAATAAAGGCAATTTAAAGCAATATATATATATATATATATATATATATATATATATATTAATGCATATTTATTACTTTGCTTGGTTTGTAATTCTAGAAATAGTTTTTTTGAAAACTATTTTTTGAAAATTCAGCTATAAAAATGTATATGTTTTCAGAAAATTATAAAAGATGGTTCTCTTAATACAATTTTTTATTTTTAAAATTTTTTATAATTTTTTGTAAAGTTATAAACTAAACAGACTATTACTTAAGGTCATGTGAAAAAAAAAATAATAATTAATAAATAAATAAATCCTTATGGCATGCATACAGGGCATATAACCTCTCAAAACCCTCTATGGATTCTCATAACCCCTTACCTTTATTTTTTTGGGGGCAAAAAAGGCCTCACCTTTAATGAAGCAATGAAAATACTAAATTACCCTTCTTGAAGGGAAAATAAAAAAAAAATAAAACCAGTGATTTTAAAATGGCCATAGTGGCCTTGGGAAGACCGTGTTTTGGAGGCATGAGATTTATATAGAAAATGTGTAAGAGAATTTTCTGACCTTCAAAAGACATTTTGGGTATTTAGTATCATTAATTAGTCATGTGCCACACACGGCTTTATAACGGTACTTTTCAAACGATTTAGTGCAGATAAGTCCTTACTTGGAATATTTTTAAATTTTTAACGAATTTGTATATTCAAAATAAACAATAGGAGTGTTATTTGCACAAAAATTAAATCTTAGAAGTGTTTTATATACTTAATTTTATTACTTAATAAATAAAAGATACATGTGAATTATCCGATAATCAACCACAAAAGATGAAAGAGAATGAGCTTGGGTCATGATGGTATCAGTGGCGACCGGCGAGTTTAAAGTTAGTAATGAAGTTTTGTTACTCATAACAATTTGGGAGGGCATAATTAGCATGAGGAATGCAGTGGGCGAATTGCAAATTTGGACGCCTGAATTTAAATGATATGCGTAATTTGTGAGTGATTGTATATATCACAAGTACACATGATAATTTAATTATGGTTGATGGATGTCAAATAAAATAAACAAGAAGAAGAAGAGGCCATCTTAATTTCTTTTTCCTTTTCTTACTTTCTTTTTCCTTTTTGGTTTTTTCACTTTTGGTTAGTTTGCTGTAATTTGTACCACAAATTTGATGTGGGGTGTAACATGAGCCTATTAATTGTTAAATTATGTGGTGAACTTTTGAAATATATTATGATACTCATAAGTGATAATGAAAAATTACACCAATAGAACTTAAATAATTTAGATGCTACAATAGGAAAAAAATAAAAACTACAATTTTAAAGAAAGTGTCATGGAGGTGTTTTGCTTAGCAATCACTCTCTTCTCAAATTACCATCATTACCTTCTTTGTTTTCCCACCCACTTAAAGACCACCTATGACCTATCATGATTCAAAGGGCTCCTCAAATCTTTTCTTATTTATTAAAGAGTTAAATGGCCCAACGATACCTACTTTCGAAAGGAGGGAGGTCCAGAGTTCAAGTCTTAGCGGGAGGGTTGGAATGTGAGTGTTTATTATTTACCTATTAAAAAAAATAAAATACCTTTTGTTTTTTTAGATGATATATATTTTTCAAATGACAGTTATTAACTTTTATTGAGAATGGCTTGGATGTTGACATTTAGGCATCATAAGAAATCTTTAATTGATTTTTATAATTACTTTCCAATTTATATGATTTTATTTGGAGATATTACAAGGAAGCAAGGTTCTCTCTCGAACAGAAACAGGAAGCAAGGTTCTCTCTCGGAGAAACATGCGCTGAACAAGAAATAATTAAGTGGTCCGAGACACGGTTCCGACAAATCAAGAGCCGCCATACACAATTATCTCTTGGACAGAAACATGCACTGAACAAGAAATTATTAGGTGATCTGGGACACTGTCCCGACCGATCAGGAGCCACCAAACAACTAACTGTGGTCTGTTTTATTCAGCTCTTTGATTGCATCTCTTGATTGGTTGGGACCACATGGTCCCAGACCACTTAATAATTTTAGGTGTTGAAAATTACAAGCCCAAACCATGTTCAGGGAGAGGAAAAAACAAAAAGTTCAAAGAAATTAAAGCATTTATATATGCATAAACATAAACACGCAAATGACTGAATAGGGAGAACTGATCCCCATCCAAACTTTTTGTTAATGAAGGGCACCCAACCAAAATAAGTACCAAATATTGATACTCATTATTTTGATAAGTCCCAGTAATGAAGTTCTATCATTTCTAATATAAAGACTAAAATATATATATATATAAATAACAATACAAGTAAATACATGAATAGAACCCCCAATATCCTATTAAACAAACTATTGTACGACAGTCGGAGGCTCAAACACAACATTGAGTCCTTCTAAGTATGCTTGCTAAGAAGACTTCATGGGTAAAGCAGATCTTGTAGCATCGCAACTAATGGCAACTATTGAATCCTTCTTTCACCAAAGGAAATACCATGCTGAATATCCATGAGACTCCACGAGAGCACATCAAACTCTTATAAGAAAGTTAAATTGGTGATGACAGTGTCCGTGGACAATGAGGATCGGAAAAGTTAACAGCTAGCTATATACAAGAATGCTCCACAAGTTCTCAACCTTCATATTTCGAAAATTGCCTTCTTTTCCTGGTGGTAGTTGTTTATCCAGCCTTCAATCAGCTTGATTTCCGATGCCCTCTGCTCTATCAACCAATCAGGATCCTCAGGTGTTGCTGCGCGCAAATCTAAATGGTGGGCACCTGATACACAATGAGTACAGTCACTTTCAGTAGAAGAATCAATATTGCTTTAGCTTCTAAACCATGGCTCGACCAAGTAGAACATAACCATATGTTATTCACAGCTTATTACCCAATTGCTACAATCGAGCTAAATAGCATGTTGAATGGAGTTAAAAGATTATCTTTAGATGAGAATGGATAATTTCTACCAAGTTGCATTCCATACACATCCCTTAACCTCAAATACTAAAATAAAAATTTAGCATCGATGGCATTATACAATCTCGAAGTTCATGTGAAGTAGATGAACACGTGAATTTCTCAGCTCTTCTGTATTTCCAGACCTAGGAGTAAAAATACCCCAATCAGTGAACGAGTACCAGGCATTGAGATTTTGCAAGATACAATGCCTTGTCAAAGTGGGCAAAACCCATCTCGTTGGCGAAGAATTGATCGCAACTAATCTATGCAAGAAGTTGTAACAAGGCTATAGCAACACATCTTTACGAATGACATTGAAAAGAAATCAATTATCTTAAATCCATTGGAATCAGATTAACCAAAAGCTGATTTTTCCAGGAAGTGACCCAGGGTCAGAATGTTAAATTATGTTGAGGCCCAATCCAAAGCTGCACAAATGTACAAAATCAGGTATCAAAGGTTAATGCTGTAGGCTGAACAAGTTCCTGGCAGTCCTATATTGAAGATATATATGGCACAATGATTAACAAACATCAGTTGTGATCTGTTAGGATTTTGTACTTCGGAGGCAAGGTTTTTTGGGAAAGCCTCTGATTAGATTTTGACATCTTTAGTGCATCCTTCCCATCGGAGCCAGTCAAGTTCCCACTTTAGAGTTGGAAACACCCTGAGGCTCCCTTTTCATTTCGTAAGAGTGCCGAGACGCAAAAGAGAGTATGCCTATCTGCTGCAGCTGAGGGAGAGGAAACATTCATCTCTACATCACAACGCTCAATTGGGTCAAGTCTATCAACATCTAAATTACAGACACGACAAAGGGCTCAAACTATAATATAATAATTTGTCTTGAAAAAGTAAGTTTTTAAATATCTTTCTTAAAGCTAATAAAGTGTGGCACAATTTCTAATGAAAATTTGGAAAGTAAAATGGAGGGAAAATATGAAATTTTGGCAACTAGAACACGTGGCATGGGCAATGGGCTGCATGGTGCCATAGTGGCACTTTGTAGGCGGCATAAATGTCAAACTCTTACAAATGACAGTTAAACTGAAATAAATGTCAACCTGTCAGAATGATTTGAAATTCGAATTACAAAGTAGCTGATTCTACATTCAATTTTCTAGTTCTTTCATTTCTCTTATTCACAGCTTCATAGAGAGCTCACAGATTTTCTTCAGTATTGCTAACCATAGAAATTCAGACTACGTTATATTTTGGAGGTGTTTTACTAGAGAACCTGATAGCAAAACTCTTTGAAATGGGAGCAAATAATACTTTAAGGAATGTGACCATATGTCCGTAAGTGACTAGTTGGTTAAATTTTGGATCCTAGAGAGGTCTAAAAATGCACATGGACAGAGTCAACAGCGAATATTTCTCTCATCTAGTGCTTCTGGCGAAGAAACTGCGGTAACATATGCCACACTACCACAGAAAGTCAAAAGATGGATCTAAGCCGGGTGAATCATTAATGAAACATACATGAGGTTTGCACGTACATGGAAATGACTCAAATTAACTTGTAACTGGTTTGTGGAACAAGGAGTGCAACAAATGACTCTCATGCTTCCCAAAAAAAAAAAAACAAGGAACAATGGATGTCATCCAATTTCTACTCGAGACTTAGAAATTGGTCAGGGCAAAGACCTCAATCAGATAAGAGATGTCAGTCCATCATGGGGTGTTTCATGAGAACAGTTCAGTTATTACAAGCAAGAGGACTTTATTGGTTGAAGACCTCCATAGAATAAAAGACTATGTTTGGGACATTGTCAGATGGTGATTTTGCTAGCAAATTGTCTTAACTGCAGATTATAGAGGTGGTAGTAATGGTGGGCCAGGCACTGCCTTAGGAGAGAGATGCTAGCAAAACAAGTGTGGGAATCAAATGCTTGGTTGATGTTGCTCTAGGACCAGCTGCAGGAGATTAGTAAAGTCAAACCCTGTAATATTTTGGACCCTTGCACAATATGTGTTGGAGGTAGGGGTGGCAATTCCTAGTCACGGGTCATAATTATGTCGTGTTCACCTATGAGTATACTGCTAAATAGGTTAACCTAAACACAACCCGTTTAATAATTGTGTCAAAGACCCTCGACACAAACACAATCCGTGTATTAAACGGATTACACAGTAACCTGTTAAAGCTGTTTAATTTAAATGAGTCACGGTACTTGTTTATTAATTTAAGTATAAAAATAAAAATACAATGGAAAAATTGAGATAATAAAAAACAATTCATGAAAATGAGAATAATTTGGACAATACAATTACAAAAAAAGCCCAAATACAATAGCCATATTGACTCTATATTGAAATAACGGAAATGTCCATGGTAATTGGGTTAAAACAAGTTACAAGTTAATCGGATTGACCTGACATGATTACGACATTAAATGGGTCTAATTGGGTTAAACAGGTTGAGCTCCAAAATACAAATACGACACGATTAATTAAACGGGTTGACATGATTATGACACAAACACGATTAAGGTCAACCCAAAGTCCCAAACCCACTAACTTTGTGTCGTGGTCAGGTCATATTGGCGGTACCTATCAAAGTTTGCCACCCCTAATTGGAGGTGCATGGTTTATGGTATATTTCTTTTTTAAAAGGTAACTGAAGTAGATTAATTGAATTTCATAACTCAGTTAAAAAGGAAAAGAAAAGAAAAGGAAAAGTCTCCATGGATCATCTCAATAGATCTTTCACCAATACAGCTGGTTATATGGCAGGACTGTAATGTACATACCTTGTAGTAGCGATTTTCATTTATATGGCTAGATAGCCTCCTATTTGGGGGTGTAATTGGGAGGATTCCAACATCCAGTTTCTGCATTGTCCAAGGATTGTGAACAGCACCCGTACAACCTCAGCAAGTATGAGGGTTGAACTCGAGTGCTGTCATGAAAGTTTGCTGCCATCTAAATGTGGTATCCACCTTCTCAATATTTTGTTTAGGTTCCTGACAAGATATGATCTGGAGGTTTCAAACTTTCCTACAATTTCAAAACAATTGCTTGGAAGATAGGGTCAATATGTCAAATTTCTAGTTGTTGTGTTGGGTCCGCATGGTATAAAAACAGAGATGGTTGCCTATTATTCCAGGCATTTTGTGACTTGTGAGAAGGGCTTCAAGCATCCAATCCTGTGCCTCCTATGACAGGATGAACCTGACAACCAAAGTAGCCACAATTGAGCTCCTTTCCTCAGCTTTATACACAACAATGTTTCAGTGATTGACACCTTGCTCTTTTCCAAGCATGTTAGTTAGGTTTGCTGTGTGATGAGATTTAAGATGCTGAGAAAAACCATCAAGAAAAATCCACAGCTATGTGGCCTTTCATAGAGGAATTTTCTAGTGTCAATTAGGGATGCAGAAAAGCCGGCATAGCGGAGAGCAAATAGATTAATGCTTTGTTAATTTATTTTTTAGAACACAAACCAAATGTCTTAAGAGGATTAATTGACACAATACTAGATCCTTGCAGTTTGTTGGGTTACAGGCACAGAAACTTGAAGCAGTTAGCCCCTACACTCCTTTCTATTTTGACAATCCCTATGCTTCAACCTGTTTTGACCCACCAATTTAATCGGACTAACAGGCTTGGCCTTCATAATTGGTTATGGCGCAGGTAGACTTTTATAAACTTCCCATTCATCAGACATGGTAGTCCACGCATGGGTTCATTAGTAGCCCATGTCACGCTCATAACATCAAAATAAGTGATCCATGACTTGGAGCAATGAGATATTTGAGGTCAGCCAACCATTCAGTCCCATTCAGAGATCCTATCAAAAGATGGATGCTATACCACATTATTTAACATATCTAATGCTAAGAACGAAAGATAATATTTAAAAGTGGAGTTACCTTTTTCTGTAACAAGAGCAACAATAGTTTCAGATATATCCTCAAGAACACTGCAACAGACATTATAAACTTCCATCAAAACTTGGACATAAAAATGAAAAAACTGCCATCACATATACAGAATGAAGAAGCCACCTGCCACCACTCCAAGGATCCAATAGGCCGTTCGAGAAAATGATGTTACTTCCAAACATTTTCAAGGCAGTCTTAAAATCCTTCACAAGAAAAGAAAAAGGCATCAAACTCAAATCAATGCATTGGAGAAGCTAGACTGCTCTCATATTATTCATGTAACACCACAAGAAGAGTAATCGTATCATTGTGAATGTCACTGATATTTAGTCAAATGCATATAGGAAGCAATTAAATTAGCACAGAGAGCAATATGAAATAAAATCCACCGTACCTACCGATGATATTCCTACTTGACATACAATAAAGGTTTCAGAATTAGAAGTTACAGAGTATGCAGGCAAAAAATCTACTTCACCAAGCAATTCAGCAGAAATCTTGAGTTGTACGTCCATCTATGATTTATGTGCATGAATCTGGCCCAAGGTTGCTGATATCGACAGAGTATAGTTCCAAAGACATGCAGTAAGACTACAACATATCTGTGGTTTTCTAATTGTAAGTTTAAAATTATAGTTGAGTGGGAATAATTCAGAAAGTAACTTGTAAGTTGTAGTAACAGCGGTTGAGGCAACTGCTTTTCCACTTTGAAGTGGAAGTTCTACATTATCAGACAATTAAGACATGCAACTCATTTCCACTTCAAAACCAAAGTGCTACTACACAAATTCCTTACAGTCTCATAATTTTAGAACTTGCAACTCTCACTAGGTGGATGAGGCTACATATTTTATAGATTAAATAAAGGTTCTATTTTATTTATTTATTATTTATTTATTTTGGATAAGTAGGTTTCATATTATGTTTAGTTTGACACAGACAAGTGAAGAAAAGAAAGTTATGTTGGTAGTTATAATAACACCTAAAATTTTCATTTATCCATTTTTTCAAATACAATATAGGAGCATATAGATATGGAAGGCCCCTCTCACCAAGTACAACTACTAACCAAAGCAAACAAGGGTAAAGAAGAACCATTCAGATCATCATGCACAGAAACAGTGACTATAACATGAAGGCTCTCATTATTTTTAGCAAGCAAAAGGATTTAGAGATGAGGAAGAAATAACATTCCCAATTAAATCCACAGGGTTGGAATAGGATAAATCTACAACGCATCAGTATCTTAGTTCTTACATGTCCACCAAATTCTGTTGTTATCCATGTAGGCCTTGGTTCAACATGGAAATCGCTCCAGCACCACTCTTTGAAAGAAGAGTAGTTATAATCATATGCTGGAAACATGCTAGTATCCTGGCTACTGGACATTGGCATAACCATCTCAGTGCATGCCTGGAAAATTGAAAATAATATAAGGAAAGCATTTTAATATGTAGTGTCTTTGAATAAAATTTTCAACTAAGAACTTTTACCCACTTATTATTCTTTTTTGACAAAAGAAATAAAATAAAAATTTATATCATAATGCTTGTAGACCTGCCAGTCCCAGCCATCCATGCCATGAGGGTCATCATCCAGTTGAAAGCAGTCAACTGCTCCAGTATAATTGTAAAAGACATTTATTCCTTCAAAAATGCGCTCCAAAACCTCAGTCCCATCCGGACAATTGTCAATCTTTCTGCACACCTATCAGAAAATAATAATAATAATAATAATGCATCAGATGTGTGATCTGCTAGCTATCAGTTTTCCTTTTAGAAACAACTATGCATCATAGCAACTCTCTGTTCACACAAGTCAAAAGTCACAATGACAAGAGTCCATAAGGTTTACTTGAAAACAGGTTCTAGAATTCATGGAGGGTTAACAGAGGGGGAAGCTTTCACTAAGGGAACAACTGGTAGCAACTGCCTGGTGACGACTATAGAAACAACAAAGGAATGTCAACAAGCAGATGAAGTCAGAATTTTCTAAGAGAAGTTCTTAAAAAGAAATTTTTACTTAGATAATTACCAAAAAAGAATTTTAAGACAGTGAATTAAAAAATTGTCTGATGATTGGATCACCAGAAGTCGTTCGCAAATGGAACAAATGCACATCAAGAAACATACTTCTCGTAACGATGCGGACTCTAACAGAAGTTTGCCAGTAGTACCTGGAGATATAATTACAAATAACCTTATTGAAAACTAAAATTCTCTATACAGTAGAGCATGGGCAGTGACCAAGCCCCTTAGGTAATAACAACTTCACCTTATGAAAAGATGTACAAGGCAGAGGCAGAAAGTATCAATTAACATAGGATAAATCTTTTAAGTTGCATAACATATTATAACTAACCTCTTTAATGGGATTTCCAGGCAAAGGCATAATAAAGTTAGATGGATAAGGGTAGTTCACCATTCCCAAATAACTATAAGCGGAATCCAACCAGTTGGAAAGATCATCAACATTTTCCAGTTTCCTGCCATTCTTTTTTTGATCAGATCCCATTCAGACAAAAAATAGGAGAAAACCAGAACATGTTGTAACTTGTAACAAAACAAGATCTTTTTTAACCCGATGACAACATTAATGACAACTACTACAGTAATGAACATGAGGGAATTGAAAACTAACACTCCATAGTCCATATACATGTTCTTACCGACATAAGCGGAACATCTTAGTCAGCTGCAGAAGGCCATTGTTCTTCTGACCCTCAGATATTAGTACATCCCATGACTTTTTTATAGTGTTAAAGCAGCTAGTACTTTCACGCTGTGTAGATAAGAGACAAACACACTTACAATGCAGAAATAAATGTATCACGCAATAACATGTGAGGATAAGCTTAAAAAGTGACTTACTCTAAAACCATTGGAGACAATGTCATAAAATGTTTCTAGTGGCACAATATCTTCAAATTGAAGAACTGGCGCTGAAGAAGCAAGGGCACCAATTGCAATGTTGGGATATTTCAGTCTCATCCATGCTGCTAACACTGTTCCAACAAGACGAAGGATATTTAAGCATAGTTCACAATTTGCACATACCAGTATACCACAGTAGACAAAAACTAAAATTGTTGGACTTCTTACTAATGTACAAATAATTATCACAGGTTGCATTACAAAGAATAAATTAGTGACTTACTTCCGCCATACGATCCACCAAACAACACTACAGGGCAAGCCTCAGCAGACAAATTTCTTTTCAGGTCAGTAAGCAATACTGTGAAATCTGCAAGTGCTTGCTCTGATGTAAGATATGATAGAGTAGTAGCATTCTTGTACGCCTCATCTCGACTCCCATAGGGCATCGACTCACCATAGTACCGATGCTGCTCATCAAATTCTCAAGTCAAATTGTGTATATAAACATAAAATAACTTCACAATTTAACTACATTTCTCTTTCTTTAACAAAATTTAAAAAGACCAAATAATTGGGATAACTCTGTTTGGAATATCTAAAAGATAGCAACGCTGCATACATTCATATGCAGAATTCCATTGATCTTAAAGCTCTACTTGGTTGTGGGGGAAATTCAAGAAAAGAACAGGAAAGAAGTTTAGACACACACAAAACACAAAAATAAAAGCAAATTTTAGTGCTTAATAAATTCAAAATCATAAATGTCACTCCATTGAGACAAAATTGCAAGTGTACTCTTAATGTAAATGAGTTTTTTGTCACTAATATACAAAAAAATAACTGAAAAAAACAACAAAGCATCATCTTTCCCTCGTTTATTTACAGAGAATTAGTCACGCTAGTAAAATCATAATGCCAATATTATAAGTGCAACTCCCAAACACTCAATCAACACACACACAAAAACACATGTAAATGTGAACATACATGCATTTTTATGTATTATACAAATATATTGCACATATAATCTTGTACATAAATAAATGTGTGTATATATACATATATGCAAATGTAATTGCATACAGAAATAAATCACAATGCCAATATTATTCTTCCAATTCCAAAACGCTGACGCTGAATCATATACGTGTACATATTTATGTACACAAATATATGCATATATACACACACAAACATATATAAATGTGAACATACGTACATTTTTATATATTATAACAAATATATTGCACATATAATTGTGTAATAAATAAATGTGCGTGTATATATGCAAATGTAGTTGTGTACATATTACATGAATGAATCACAATGCCAATATATTCGTACAATTCCTTAAAGCTCAATCGCATATATGTATATATTAATATATACACAAATTGTCAAATACATATAAATCAATGTGACCACAGACCATATATACATTTTATAAAGAACTACTGGATATGAATATAAATGCACATAATGCACATATACACACATATATTTATGTATGTATATGTGGGTTTTCTTACTTCGGGGAAGAGGACCATAGCGCCGAAGCGAGGGGCGATTTCCCAGACGAAGCCAGTGTTGTCGGCAAACCATTCAATGTCGCCTTCATTACCGCAGTAGAAGAAGATGGGGCCCAAGCGAGTGGGACCCACCCAGTGGTCGGTGTTGATGAGGTACCGTTGCCGGAAAGTTGGGAGATCGGCGAAGCTGAAGTGGTCGAGACGCTGCGTGAAGAATCGGGTCTCGTATTGGTATTGGGTTCGTAGCAATTGGGGTTTGTTGGAGTTGAAGACCTTGGGGTGGAGGAAGCGAGGAGGGTTCCGTTTGGAGGATCGGGGGAGCTGAGCTGATTCTGATGAGAGAGAAAATATGAGGATGAGAGAGAGTATGAGAGATGCGTAGAGGGCTGGTTTCGCCATTTCCAGAGTTCTCGGCGAACCGGGCGACTGTTCGAATGTTTGATGACTTTTCGGTCCAGTAGTTGACGTGGGGTAATAATATGGGCGCGAATCACCTGATGTGCAATTCCTGCTGTAATATTCACGTGTTTCGGAGACCACTGTATAATCGTAGTGCTGCTTTATCGGTCAGACTAGTTTCGTTCAGCAAAATGGACACATCAGATAATATCAGTTTATTATTATTGTTTTCTATATATATATATAAACATATATACATAATTACAAATATTGAAAGAGTTTTTATTTTTTTACCCCTCTCTAAAATAAGTATATACTCATCTCTGATGAAAAATTATAAATGATGATTTAATTTGAAACAGCATTTTAATTATGTTACTATATTAAATTATTTCATACAAATTTATTTTAATTTTTAAATTATTTTTATTACTATTATTAAAACTTGAATAATGATAGAGTCACCCAAGACTAATTTCCAAATTAGTACCCAAATCTAATATGTCTTTGCCACGTCATATATTATTATTTTGTTTTCTCGCTCTAATTGTGGCTCATCTTTTCTCTAATAAGTTTAATACTTGTCCTTTTTTTAGACCCTTAAGTTTTCTCTCTCAAAACTATATTCAATCCCTTTTCAAATTCTCTCGTCCATCTTTCACAGCGGCCATCATTGTCATTCATAAATTCTTATGTTAACTCAAAACTTTTTAACTACTTATTATTTTTCGATGATCTTATTTCTTATCAAGTTAACAAATCATCAATTACCAATAGACCCCTTTTAATAAAGTTTGGAGATTAGGGTTTATGTAAGAAAGAGATATACAAGAGAACACCCTAGTAAAGTCATGAACAAATTTGAAGGTTTTTAGGGTCGGATCTGAGAGGGAAAACAAATGAATGGGGGGAAAAACAAGTAGATGGAAATGAAATAGAAAGGCAAACCCAAATCTTAAAGAAAGAAGGCGAAGAGAATTTGAGACATAGATCGACAAATTTTTAGGCAGAAAATGTTCAAAAGAATTTCAGAGCAGAGAATTCAGACACAAATTTTAGGGAAACCGAATAAAAAATGAGAGAGAGGGAGACATATGCATACATTTTTAGAGAGAGAAAAAAGTTCAAATTAAATTTCAAAGGTAATTTCATATTCAAATCTTTGAGAGAGAAAATGATGAAATTTGAGAGAGAGATATATGGGTAAATTTTGGAAGAGAAAAAGTGTAGAAAATTTCATAAAGGTTAGTAATGGTAATTTGGTAGAGAGAAGATGTAATAAGTATGAAATAAAGATAAGACTGAATATTGAAGATATATTTGTCTTCGTATTTATTGGCCAATCTATTTTTAAAAAAAATTGATTGCATATATGTTTTGGGCAAGACGGGTCATTGTTCGATACTCATTAGGGATTTTTTATTTGGTTTCTATCATCACTCTCTAAACTTTTCAGTCAGGATTGGTAACTTCGTTGTCAATGTGTTACAAACTAACTACGTGCATGGATTCACCTGTATGAATTTAGTAAAATTACTTAAAACCCATTTTTTATTAAATTGTATTGTAAAAAGTTGTGTCACTTTGGCCTATATGATGTAAAAAAACAAATGCCTTATTTTCTAAGTGGTCGGGGATTGCTCCCGTGCCCTCTCACTAAATATTCCACCCCTTATTTTTTAGCTCATTGGTCCAACAAATTTTTTAAAAGAGCAACGGTAAGGGAATCAAAAAGAATTACCGAATTAGTATCGAATTTAACGTGATTAGTCATTCTTATCACGTGTTAAACAATTATTTTAAGTAGATGAGATGGACAAAAATACGTCAGATTCGATACTTATTCGGAGTTAATTCATCGGTCTCCCTATCATTATTCTTTTTAAAATTCAGAAAGACGCATTTTCTTCCTCCAATAGTCCACAATTTAATGTTATTTTTATTTAAAAATCAAAATTCAGAAGGAAAAAAAAAAAACCTCATTTGCTATTTATTATTTTGGTGCAAAATTTCTTATCGTACTATTGTAAATGGTAATCCTCTCTCTGAAGTAAAATCCTAGTTCCTCATTGTATGACATTCAAATGAAGATATAAGGCTCGATTTGTTTGCATATAAAATATTTTTTAGAAAACATTTTTTTTAATTTTTGCCGTCGGAAAATATTTCTGAAGAAAAAAATATATTAAAACCTAACAAAAATAATTTATCTATTAATTTTTGACAAGTTATTTTACATGTCCCGCTCGATGGACTCAATCTCGACTTAGACTTTTACTAAACACCGATATATACACACACACATACATGCCCAATGAAAATTTATACCCCATGAAAATTTGGGTTTGCAGTCATGCCCAATGAAAATTTTAATGAGGCAAAGTAAAATTCATGTTAATGGAAGCCCAAAAGAAGAAAAACTCGCTCCATCTATATACTGAATACGTTTGGGCCACAATTTCAAATTTGTAAATTTTTGCATTTCAATTACCCAAAAAAAAAAAAAAAATAGTGAAAGGGAATCTAACCTAATGATATAAACCCTTTAGAAAGAGAAATTATTAGTTGGTGCAACGGATGCACGAAAGTCATTGGATCATCACTGTGGTGGTTGGCCCCACCTAATCCGTTGAAGAGCTGATTCAGAGGCTAAGGATGGAGTTCAGGTGTGGACAAAAAGTGTGTCTGAGTAGATGCATGAAAATATTAACCCGAAAAAATAAGATAATAATAATAATAAATTTTGCATTTCATTTCTCTCTCACTCACACACACACAATGTGACACACACACTTTTTCTCAGCTTTTAGGATGAATATCCCTAGTCTAGAAGGGAATGTGTACCCAAAATGAAAATGCAACTTGAGCTAAGTCATATCATCCACTCAATAAGAGCATAATATAATTCCATGACACTTTTAATTAGTGTATGTCATCATGGATATAAGACAATATCAAGCATATCCGACCCTTATATTTATTTATTTATTTATTTATTTAACCCTAGAAAGTGTGGGAAAGATTGATAGGATCAAAAAGATTTTGTAGCCTTGAAGATATGAAACATTGAATGTGTTTCATACCCTACATTGTTGATTTTGTTTGATCTTTGATTATTGATTGTGATTAGAAATGGTGCAATCTCCATATTAATTAGAGTGAATGCAGAAATATACCGTGTTGTCCCTTTCATTTTTTCTCATTCTTTGTCATCATATTTTTAAAAAATGGCCTACTTGATGTCAGAAAGTCACCAGCTCCATCCAATCTGGAAGCAAAACTTTTAAGTGGAGAATCAACTTTTGTGGAGGTAAACCTTTTCCTTGCCCATTTATCCTTCCAATTTGAATGATTGCTAATACCTTCTTTTTAATTTTATTTTTTTTCTATTTCTTTTATTAATTTTTATTTTTTTCATTTTTTTACATAAGTACGTCACAAACACACTCGTTTGTCCGTTGGGTATTCAAACCCATCTCCACTTTCCTGTTAAAATGAGGAACTATCACTTGAACCCTTTACCAAAAAAGTTGGAGAAAAAATTCCTTAGACTTGGTACAAGATTTCAAGTGTGATTTTCTCATTTTAACAGAAAAGTTGAGACTTGCTTGAATACTATCGGACAAATAAGCGTGCGTAATGTAATGTTAGGACATTAAATGGGCAATAGCCCAACTGATATAAACCCTCTTTTCTGTGTTCAAGATTCATTGAAGGCCGAGTATGTGCGTCTGTTTATTTCACAATATATATTTTTAGGATTATTTATTTATTTATTTTTTTTTGAGGAGCTGTCACAGCTCAATGTTGAACAATCAATTTGAGTCAGTGACATGACATCGAAGAAGTAATGCTCGGACCTCTTTTTGAAAGGAAAAAATAACCTTTTGAAGCATTTATTATTCATTTTTCAATTTTTTTTGAAGACTATCTCTAGTGATCTGTTAAAATTTTTTTGTGTAAATTTGATGTGTCAAAGTAAATTTACACAAAAAAAAAAAATTTGTACTAACTATTTTTAGCTTCAGCAATTATTTTATATCTTTTGTGTAAAAAACTATCCCCCAATAACAACCAACCATGTGTTATACCGAAGACCCTAAATAACTTTTACAAAGTTACTTTATTCAGTTTACTTTTTGGCGATTAAACCTCACGGCCCAATCCTCCTCAATTAGAAAAAAAAATAATAATTGTCCCTTATATTTCACTTTCTCATCTCGCTAATAGCAAACCTTTTACACCATCGCTAACGGAATTCTAACTTATAACAAATAATAAAATAAGATTTAATTATCTAGAAACTACGTTGATTAAAATATATATCTAATATTTGGTTAGTACATATTTATCTCATTAGAATAGAATATAAAAGGATAAATTTTTTTTAAAAATCCTAGAATCTACAGTATGATTGCAGAAGATAAGATCAAACGAAAGTGATGAATCAAACTCTATTTATTAAAAATAAAAAATAAAAGATGGTCGAGCAGTTCTTACTTTACCTCCAGTTACAGATTTCTCTCTATTCCACTTTTAAAAAGTGGGAAACAAAGAGGCGTAAAGGAATGAGAGAGAAGAAAGAGAATCGCTAGTGGGAAAGGGGAGGAAAGAGAAAATATGCTTACATGGCAATGTAAAAATGTTGTGTAAAATACGCAACCCTTTTACATATTGGTGATGTGGCAGTGTATCTGAATATACTGCTGGAGATGAAAAAAATTTATAAATCACATGTGGCCGTGTATATTTTACACAAAAGAATTTTTTAACAGATCGTTGGAGATTCTCTAACGAAGGTAAAAACACCCAATTTACCTTTCTCTATGAATTCATAGACTCATGGTCCAAAGAATCAGCTTAAAATCTTTTATCTGGGGCGGGGGGAGGGGAGACAAGCCTTGTCTAATTACCCTTTTTTTTTTTTTTTTTTTCTTTTTTCAAGTAAAAAAATGTTAGAAGTTAGATTAATTAATATATGCAGAGAGTCGAAGTTTAACACTTTAAAATCTAATTACAAATGAGTAGCCATCTGTATGGACCACTAATGTGGTCCAATTATAA